ACCTTTCAAAGGTTTTCATAACTACACAAGTCAGAGCAACCAGTTTGTAGTCAATCAGCTCCTTGATGGAGGGTTTCTTAGGCACTGGGATAATAGTAGAGCATTTGAAGCAAGAAAGTACATAACACATCTCTAAGATTTATTAAAGATATGGGTGAAGATGAGGGCCAATTGTCAACACAAAGTTTCAAGCAAGGAGTTGCCTTGTCTGGACCTGATGCTTTTCCAGGCTTATGTCTATGAAATAGACCTCACACATCTTTTTCTGTGATCACCAGAGGTGGGGGCCCCAGAGGGATGGAGTCAGTTGTAGGAGAATTGGTTGTTATTGATGTATCTGAGATGGAGAGGGTGGTAATAGTTGACAGTGGTTTTCTGTCAAACCTCCAGTAAGTTGTCAATTCCCTTCAGCATGGGAAGATTTGCTGTAGACAATGACATCTTTAAGGGTTTTCCACATATTAGCTGGTTCATTTGTTGAGAGCTGATTCCTCAGCTTTTCAGAATAGCTTCATTTTGCTGCTCTGATCACTTTGGTTAATAATTCCTGGCCTAAGTGTACAGCATTCTATCTCCTTTCCTGCTTGCTTCCTCTTTGGTATGATGTAGCTGTTTGAACTTATCTATGAACCAAGGTTTGTTGTTATTGTGTATTCATAGTTTTCTGGCCTTCACAAAAACTGACATGTCACAGTATCTGCGAGTTCATCCCAGTTTGCAGAGGTAGCTTCAAAAATTTTTCCTGTCTGTGCCATCAAGGCAAACCTATAGTTTTAATTATGCCTCCTCAATCCAAGACTTCACTGATTTAACTGTTGGTTTTATGGTTTTAAGCCTTTGTCTTTGAGTAGGTACAAGGTGAATCATACACTGATCATCTGCTTTACCAGCTGCTTATGGTAAAAACTGATAAGCATCTTTTAATGTTGTGTAGCAGTGATCTAAAATATTATTTCCTCTAGTAAGATAGTCGGCATGCCGGATGTATTTTGGCAACTCTTGGCTTAAGTTAGCACTGTTGAAATCACCTAACACAATGACAAAAGTATCTGGGTATCTTAGTTCATCCCACAGAATTTGGTTAGCTAGATAATTTGTAATGTATTATGTATGCAAGCTTGGGGTAGAATGTACATAGCAACCAGAATAAATGAGGAGAACTCTTGTGGACAATAAAATAGTTTAAAATTGATAAATAATATCTCTAAGTTCTCATCACAAAATTTCTTCAGTAAAGTTACATTTTTACATCATTTGTTGTTGATATAAAAGCAGAGGCCTCCTCCCCTCTTTTTACTGGTTGATTCTGCAATTCTATCTACTCTTTGAATCTGAAATCCTGTGATTTGCAGGCAGTTACCATTAATCAACTTGTTCAACCACATTTCAATGAAACAGAGGGTTGCCAAATTAGAAAAATCTGTATTGTTTCTATTTAAGCGTAGCAGTTCATCTATCTTATTTACTAGTAAGAGAAAATTAGTTAAGTGCAGAGACATGAGGGTAAATTTGCTTATCCTACGCTTCCTGAGCCTTTGTAATATCTTTCCTCTCCTGACTCTCTTCCTCTTCCTTTTGTTTCTTTTTATACTTCTTCATTTCTGCCAGGCCAGAAGAGATAACTGCCCTTCTCTCAGTCAGAATTTCCACCACGTTTGAAAAGAAGAGAGGAATAGTCCCAGAAACCTGTTTGTTTGTAAACACCATTCTTTAATATCCAAAAGTTCAATTCTGGAGTATGAAATTCTTAGGGAGTCACAGAAAATAATAAAAAACATTAAAACTACAAGAGAGCATTTCACCAAAGCTGCTGTCAGCACCACCATCTTGAGGCAATTCTAGTAGGGAAAAGCTATGAAAATTTACTAATTAATTGTGCACTAATTGTGCTGAACTATATATAAAGTAAATCTTATCCCTGGGACATAGATGATACATCACATTAAGACTATTTTCAGCAATATCCTCACGGCATCTAAAATATATGCTGGGTATCATTGCTTGTGATCTGGAATAAAGCTAGTAGCTGAGCTAAGAGGCAGATACCAAAAACAGTTGGAAAAAAAGGTCATTCAGCCATACAGAGTCAGGCAGGTGAAATTATATTGGTTCTTATTAATGTAATGATGACTGAATTTGTAGTTGCAAAAATGTTTGATCATCTATAGCAATGGGACTTAAATGCTGCAGACGGGAGCAAACAGTTTGATCCATAGCAAAACAATCAAAAAGGCACAAAAAAGCATTTCAGCCTTTTAAAGGATTTCAAAGTTTCTTCTGTTTATGGTACGTGTAAGGAAGGTCCAAGATTGACTGGATGTTTTGAGAGATCAAAATGCAAGCTCTCCATTATTAAAAAAAAATGTCCCATTTTGGTTTAGTTTATTTTCAGCTTTCATAATAAGCCTCCACAATTTGACATAACAAATGATATCAAGAATCTTAACTTTACATCTGATCACATTGAGTTTTGAACTGTCTTTAAATGTCTGCTAAGGTGCCCCTCTCAGCTCAAGAAAAGTTTAAAGATATACCACTGCTCAAAAAAATAAAGGGAACACAAAAATAAGACATCCTAGATCTGAATGAATGAAATATTCTTATTAAATACTTCGTTCATTACATAGTTGAATGTGCTGACAACAAATTCACACAAAAATTATCAATGGAAATCAAATTTAGCAACCCATGGAGGTCTGTATTTGGAGTTACACTCAAAATTAAACTGGAAAAAAACACTACAGGCTGATCCAACTTTGATGTAATGTCCTTAAAACAAGTCAAAATGAGGCTCAGTAGTGTATGTGGCCTCCACATGCCTGTATGACCTCCCTACAACACCTGGGCATGCTTCTGATGAGGTGGCGGATGGTCTCCTGAGGGATCTCCTCCCACACCTGGACTAAAGCATCCCCCATCTCCTGGACAGTCTGTGGTGCAACGTGGCATTGGTGGATGGAGAGAGACATGATGTCCCAGATGTGCTCAATTGGATTTAGGTCTAGGGAAAGGGTGGGCCAGTCCATAGCATCAGTGCCTTCATCTTGCAGGAACTGCTGACACACTCCAGCCACATGAGGTCTAGCACTGTCGTGCATTAGGAGGAACCCAGGGCCAACCGCACCAGGATATGGTCTCACAAGGGGTCTGAGGATCTTATCTCAGTACCTAATGGCAGTCAGGCTACCTCTGGAGAGCACATGGAGGGCTGTGCAGCCCCCTAAAGAAATGCCACCCCACACCATTACTGACCCACTGCCAAAACGGTCATGCTGGAGGATGTTGCAGGCAGCAGAAGGTTCTCCACGGCATCTCCAGACCCTGTCACGGCTGTCACATGTGCTCAGTGTGAACCTGCTTTCATCTGTGAAGAGCACAGGGTGCCAGTGGTGAATTTGCCAATCTTGGTGTTCTCTGGCAAATGCCAAACATCCTGCATGATGTTGTGCTGTAAGCACAACCCCCACCTGTGGACGTCAGGCCCTCATACCACCCTCATGGAGTCTGTTTCCAACCGTTTGAGCAGCCACATGCACATTTGTGGCCCGCTGCAGGTCATTTTGCAGGGCTCTGGCAATGCTCCTCCTGTCCCTCCTTGCACAAAGGCGGAGGTAGCGGTCCTGATGCTGGGTTGTTGCACTCCTACGGCCTCCTCCATGTCTCCTGATGTACTGGCCTGTCTCCTGGTAGTGCCTCCATGCTCTGGACACTAAGCTGACAGACACAGCAAACCTTCTTGCCACAGCTCGCATTGATGTGCCATCCTGGATGAGCTGCACTACCTGAGCCACTTGTGTGGGTTGTAGACTCCGTCTCATGCTACCACTAGAGTGAAAGCACTACCAGCATTCAAAAGTGACAAAACCATCAGCCAGAAAGCATAGGAACTGAGAAGTGGTCTGTGGTCATCACCTGCAGAACCATTCCTTTATTGGGGATGTCTTGCTAACTGCCTAGGCTTTCCACCTGTTGTCTATTCCATTTGCACAACAGCATGTGAAACTGATTGTCAATCAGTGTTGCTAACTAAGTGGACAGTTTGATTTCACAGAAGTGTGACTGACTTGGAGTTACATTGTGTTGTTTAAGTGTTCCCTTTATTTTTTTGAGCAGTATATTTTTAATACAACATTCCAAGGGCAGGATTGAAGTGAGTCCGGAATAGCTCTGATTCTAATAGATACAGGATTGAAAACCTAAATTGTACTCTTTGGTTTCTTCATACTTTAGTTACTTATTGAATGGTAATGGTAAGTATCTGCCACTATCTATTTCTTTCCAATTAGGAGCGGTCTGTTAATGTGCTTTATTAAATAATTTCTGTAATAAAACAAGAGCATATGCTTATTGTCAAACATTTATTTATTAGTTTGATGAGTTAAATATGAAAGTTGAAACAACAACATAAAAATAGTAAGAAACTCAACATTGTAATCAATGCAATTTATTGGAGTGATGGCATATTTTATATGAAATATGCTGTAAACTCCATACCCAAGCTTTAATTCCATTCTTATGCTGCCTCTTTTATAATTTTACCTCAATTATCTTAATGCAACTGAACTGCTTTAAGACTAGTGTATATCATCTTATGCATAATATCTGTTTAGTATTTATTATAGAAAACTGTGTAAATTTAAAAATAAAATTTAGCCCAACAGCATAGATTGTTCTGTTTATTAAATTATTTCTTCCATTCATATTAATACTTCTGAGATAAGACATGTGATTATGAAATCCACTTTGCAAATTAAAATGACCATATTACGTACAAAAGTTCTGCTTAATAACAACCCTCTGGGCTTTTTACTTTATCTAAAATTAGGTTAAATATAAAAAACATAATGGCAGTTGTGTTTTCATTGTTGATAACTAATAAAAAGGAAAACAACAAGGTACTGTAAGAATAAAGCTATCTTTATAGATAAGTTTCTGTAAAGATCAGGCTCTTATTCAATTGTGATGCTGAACAAGATAAAAAAACACATATTTTAACTGACCTGTTTTTCATTTTCATCCTCCAACTTCAGCCTGTCCTCTATGCAGTTCCTGGCCTGAAGGAAGGCCTTTCTCTGAGCCCTCTCCGTCAATATCCTTACAAAGACTCCATACAAGTTTACACTAACAAAAAGGATAGCATTGGCCATAAGCTGTAAAGACAAAAAAGAGAAGGAACGCATATATATAGATATATATATTATAATACAGGCACTTATATACATCTCCATATCACTGTAATTCTATCTAAAATCCTGCGAATTTTATTTCATTGTTTTGATATTTAAATGTTACTATTCTCAACATTTATTCAGTCATTAGGATTTCCAACTGACAAGAGTCACGGGTTTTCCAGATCTGCCACGACAAATCCTTTTAATTATAAATTCTGGCTATTAAATCCAGGGACGCAGCATATGCTATATCATTAGATTACAGACCTTCATCTTTGGGGTGGCAGTAGCCACAACAGAAAAAAAAATGAAAGTCTACATCACCACCAAATTCAGAAGATGCTTGGTGCAGTTACTCTGCAAAAAGAGTATATTTATATGGTATAAATAATTATTTCCATTCAATTGAAGATTCTATCTTTTATAAACTTCTAAAACTCTCATCACCTAAGTGATAAGGTGCATCATAGAGCAAAATGTACTTCAAATGGGCTAATTTATGGAACATATCTATTTTCTTTAATTAAAGGACAAGCTTATCAAAACATTCTGACCATTCTCATCCGTTACTTTAATATTATTATTAAATGGCTTCTGAATTCAACATTACTCATCTCCTCCTGAATCCTTGGTTAATGATCCCTGCTCAATCTCCATACGGCTAATTGAAGCCATTGGGGCTCTGGATTTCCCTCAGTCAGGGGGCCCTATTACATCCAGAGCCCCAATGGCTTCATTTAGCCGTATGGAGATTGAGCGAGGATCGTTAACCAAGGACAGTTTCTCTGTTAAAGTCATAGATACTATACAGGCATCTACCAAACGCGTTTATGATGCTACTTCGAGGATATTTTGCACTTGGTGTAATAAGACTAATTGTTCGGCTATGGAGGCCTCTATTGGGGACCTTCTTGAATTTCTGTAAGACAGGTGGACAAAGGGCTATCACCTAATACTCTTCACAGACAGATAGCAGCTTTGTCTTCTGTCTTATCCATGGGGTCTTTGGAATCCATTTTTTACAACCCACTGGTCCACAGATTCCTCAGAGAGGCATTGAATCTGCATCCACCGGTAGTCCACAGGTACCCTACATGGGATCTGTCTAAAGTCCTGTGAACTCTTATGGGAACTCCCTTTGAGCCTCTGAGAACTATTGGCCTTCGGTTTCTGACTATTAAGGTAGCCTTCTTGGTGGCCATCACGTTGGCTAGAAGGGTTTTGGAACTAGTAATGGTCTCAGAGCAGATTTTGCATTTTCCACCATAACAGGGTGGTCCTTAAGACTAGACCCTACCTTTGTTCTGAAAGTTATCTCTTCATTCCATAGAACACAGGAACTGGTATTACCAGATTTTTGTCGTAATCCGATTCATGAATGGAGAAGAAATGGCATGCTCTGGATGTTCGCAGAGCATTGAAATTTATGTAAAAAGGACTTCTCCACCAAATAGGGCTCCAAGGCATCCCCAAATAGCTTGTCCACTTTTAAAGGGGCTGAAACCACCTTCCACTTCCTCCTGGAATCCATCTGCCAGTTGTGGAGCCACAATAGTCTCTGTGCCATGACAGAGGTTGCCATGGCCTTAGTGGCAAATTTAGCCGAATCAAGACTAGCATCTGTGGTGAATTCCATGGTGGCTATAATTTTGTTCAAATCCTGATGCACTCTGATGTCTGATGCTGGCACCTGCTCCTGTAATTGTTTTAACAAGTAGAGTGAAGCCTGTGTGAAAAAGGATGCTGCTGTAGAGGTGCGGACCGCCCAGGCTAAAGCCTAGTGGGACCTTTGCAGGATGTGTTCCAAGTACTTATCAATGCATCCTCTGGGTCCATGGGGGTCCCTGAGGAAGATGCAGAAGTAACCACTGGTAGATCCACTGAGGGAAGTTGCAAAGCCTTGGCCAAACCTGACCCACATTATAGAATTTTTTCTCTGAGGAGGATGGGTTAAGGCCAGTGTCTGGAGAATCGCATTGCTTCAGCACCACATCCAGACATAATCTAGGTGAGGGTAAGACCTCTGCCTGGACAGTGGGTTGAGAGAACAGTGAATCCCCCTGTGACTGTTCTTGAGGAATGGGCTGTACCAAGGTCTCATCCAGGGATAATTGGGCTATATTCTTTGCCTTGTGCAACAAGGACTTGAATAGTGAATGGTCAAATAATCCTGAAAGGACAGCAATTCAGGAGAAATATCCTTATCTTCTGAGACGTTTGAATCCCTCACCTCACCTTCCTCTGCCTTAGCAGAGAGACTGCGTTCAGATCCTTTGATAGAAGTAGTCTCTTGATAACCCACCCATTCGCTATGGGTTAGGATGGGCCTGTCTGGTGTTTCTGGAAACTTCAGGCCTAACACTGGGAATTGATACACAAGAGGTGAGCTGAATGGGATGGTTCCTCCACATCCCAGGGGAAATCCCAGAAGGGCCTAAAAGATGGTGGATCCCATTTGTAATATCTTGCCTAATAGCAGCTGAAACCACCTCTCTCATAGAATCTGACATCTCAGTCCCTAAAGAGTCCCCTGGGAGAATGCCTGCAGCAGTGGGGGTGAAAGTGGCTTCTGCTCGTGACCAGGGCCACCTAAGAGGCTGACTAAAGGGCTAACTAAAGGCTGGAAGGACAGGTTCAGCCCAAGCAACAGGCCTGTTGCTGGGGCCTTTTCTACTCAAATCCTGTGGCAGAGCAGGATTAAACTCAGTAGCTCCCTCTGGTGACCAAGAATCCAGGATTTGAATATCAACAGTCTGCAGATCTGCCCCAGCAACAGTGGGATGGAGTGACAGTTGGCTCCGCCCTCCCCCCCTTTGTTCCCAGCCCTTTGCAAACTGCCATTCAAGGGCCTCATGCCTTCTTTCTACACATTCTTGACCTTAATTTTGCTGCTGCCCCTTGAGCTGAGGAATGTCTCTTGGATCTTCTATGCCTTGAAGAGGCCTGTGCCATTGCAGGGGATAGGGGTTCTTGTCTGCCTGCTTCCCCTTCCATGATTCTGTTGCTGCCAAACCAGTCCCTTTCTGCTTCAGCCACACAGGCTAGGGTGAGCCGTGAAACTGCAAAATAAAGCAAGGGATCGATTTCTCCCACCCCACAATTAGTGCCAGTCAGCTGTGGCCAGCAGCACAGCGGGAGCTTTGGGCAGTATATAAGAAGAGAATTGGTTGGTTAGGGCAATGTAATCCCTATTGCTGCTCTGCTCGCTCCCTGCAGCAACTCACAGTTGGCAAAAGTTGGTTGACTGCTGGTGTCCTCAACGTCAAGAACAAACTTTCACCTTATGATGAGTCCTTCCAGCTCCCACACGGCATCCTCTCAGCGCTCCTGGGGCCCTTTATTTCTCCAATTTGACTATTTTAAAACAATTTTTGAAGCTTTTGGCTCTGAGAGCATCACAGAACACAACCAGTTCAACAAGCTGACTGAGTCAAAAGTTGGGGTAACCATAGCAATGGTGACAAGGTCAATGATTTGTCAGACTCGGTCATGTGATGAGGAGATGAGGACAATCCACACTAGACTCTCGCAACAGTCTAACAGAGAAGCCTTTCTTTCTCTCCCCCAAATTCCACAAGAATGGCGCAGCCTCTTGGAGCAGGATGCCTTGCAGGGTCCCAAAGACTCATTTCTGGTAGAGTTTGGGGAAGAGAAAGAAAGACTTTTGCTGCCTTCCTTGCATGCAGCCAAAAGCAGAAGAAGAAAGAAGAGGAAAGAAGCAGCCCGGTGGCCAGATCAGGCAAATGGGGAGAGTGCGGCAAGTCCCTCCTCTGACCTTTCCCTCCTCCCCTCACTACCTCATGTTGTTCACAATGCAAGCGATGCAAGCCTTGTGTTCCCATGGGCCATGTGGGTGGTGCAGCCTTGTGTTCCCATGCAGTCTGGATTAATTGCTTTGGGGGGGGTGCTTTGAGGGTGACATTTCTCTGCGGACCACCAAAATTTTCTCATGGACCACCAGTGGTCACCGGCCCACCAGTTGGCGATCACTGTCCTAAAGGGTACAAGTTCAAGTACAAATAGTTTAGGCAGCAAAGTATGGTATCACTTTCAGCTTACCATCTTTCTTAGTAATTATAAAATACTTAAAAGGAGGCAGGGCATTATTCCCCTAGAGAAACACTAGAACCTATGAGATAGAACATAGAATAGCATTGGAAAGGATCTTGAAGGGCTTCTAGTCCAACTCTCTACTCAAGCAGGAGACTCTATACAATTCCAGCAAATGGCTGTTCAAACATTTCTTAAACCCCCAGTGATGGAACTGAAGGCAAGTTATTCCATTGCTTGATTGCTCTCACCATTAGGAATTTCCCACTTAATTCTAGATTGCTTCTCTCTGTGGTAAGTTTCCATCCATTGTTTCTTGTCTCGCCTTCTGGTACTTTGGAAATAGGCTGTCCCCCCTCATATTTGAAGGAGCCCCTCAAATGTTAGAACACTTCTATCATGTCTCCCTAATCCTTCTTTTCATTAGGCTAGACATACCCAATTCTTGTAACCCTTCTTCATATATTTTAGTCCTACCACCTCCATCAGTCTCAACATCTTTTTTATGTACATTGTGGAGACAAGAACTGGGTGCAGTATTCCAAGTGTGTCTGCTAAGGCTTTGTAAAATGGTACAGGAACTCCATGTGATCTTGATTCTACCCTCTATTAATGTAGCCTAGGATTGCATTGGCTTTTTTGGCTGCTGCAACACTGTTGACTCATATTTAAGTGATTGCATCAGGACTCCAAGATTCCTCACACAATTGCTGGTATTGAGCCAATTTTAACCTAGTCTGTACCTATACAATTTTTTTTCTTGCCTATGTAAAACTTTACATCTATGATAAATTTCATTCAGATAGGGCCCAGTGTTCAAGTCTTTCAAGATCTTTTTGGATCTTGAGCTTATCTTCAGGATGTTGGCTATTCCTTACAGCTTAGTGTCATCTGCAAATTTGATGAGTTTCCCTTCTAGTTCCTCACCT